CAATTCAGCTCAACCCGTCTCAGCGCAATTCAGCTCAACTCATCCCAATCCACTCCCAAAATACTCCAACTGAGATCATCATAGACAAAGCAACACATTCCTCAAACTTCAATCAACATTTCGAGAGACGGTAGGTTGCATTCCGGACCAGCGGTTAATCCAGGCCACATCAAACGTAGCTTTGAGGTTGGTTTGTAACGAAGTGTAGGCTCGAGTACTTACCGGATGGTTGTTCAGTTTCCCCTCCGGTCCATCCTGAAGTGTGTTGTTTTGTTTGTGCTGAGATTGGTAGTGCTTTCTCAGCAACTGAATTTTACAGTTTGGTTTTACTTTCCTAATTGTGAGTGCATAACAGACGTATTTAGTGACATCGTATTATTGTTCAAGTTTTTTTTTTTCGTTCTTTTGCTGTAAAGTATGAATTGTTTAAGTAAGTGAAATGAATTATATTTAGTGGAAATGGGAAAGATACATTATTCAAGACAGCCGGAAAATAGCACAAAATCGTGTAAAGCACGTGGTTCCGACCTTCGAGTACATTTCAAAAATACTCATGAAACGGCTCAAGCCATCAAACATATGCCACTAAAGCGTGCAATACGTTTTCTGGAAAATGTGAAAGAGAAGAAGGAGATTGTTCCATTCCGGAAATTCAATCATCGTGTTGGGCGTAAAGCACAAGCGAAAGCTTGGAGGCATACACAGGGTAGATGGCCAAAGAAATCAGCTGAATTTTTGTTGCAGCTTTTGAGGTCAGTAATTTTTTTTTTTGGTGTTCAATGTATTTGAGACAGTTTGAATATACCTGTTACTAAAAGTTCTTCAGTCATATGCTATAATTCTGAGATCATACATCTACGATAAATGGAGATGATGATTGAGAACTGAAACCAAACATAGCGAGTAAAGCTGTTCCCTCTACTTAGAGTTATATTACAGAGGAAAGATATATGTGATTAAAGTGTATCGATTACTTCCATTTGCCCTTTTTAATTCACCTAACAGTCATATTGGGATGATTGCTATGAAGTTTTTTGTTTTTGCTTATAATTACTTGTTCTAGAAATGCGGAAAGTAATGCAGAGTATAAAGGATTGGATACAGATCATCTTGTAATCGAACACATTCAAGTGCAGCGTGCTCCAAAAGTACGTCGACGAACATATCGTGCTCATGGCAGAATCAATCGTTAGCTTTTTTTTTCTATAATTTCAACAATTTTAGCTCATTGCAGATTGTAGTTGATCTACTTAGTGAAAAACTCACCAGATGCTAAACTTATAAAGTTAGCTGTTAGTGGAATTTCTTATTTGAATAACAACTAAGGTAACTGTTGTATAAATCTGAGCAGACACATACGGTGTTCTTTCAAAAGTTGCCTCTCTATGCGTCATCTGGTCAAATATTTGTTTTTTCTTTTCTTACCGCCTGAAATGTATTTTTTAATATAGTAATACTGGATATTTTAGTTTTTCTTCTTAGAATTTCGTACTGTATGTTACCCATTCCCAAATATAAAGACGCACATTCAGCTACGTCTAAAACAGAATTTTGAAATAACTTCATCTTGTGAGTTTGACGGATATACTCTAATATTTTATTTTAGTTGGAAAGTACCTTTCATGATTGCTTTATTGAGTTGCAAAATCACCCCGTTTTATGTTCATTAAATGGAAAAAAGATTTCCAGCTTATATGTCATCGCCGTGTCATGTGGAAGTAATTTTATCAGAGAAAGAGGAAGTAGTCACAAAGCCAACGGATGATGTAGGAAAAGTGAAGAAAGAATCAAAAAAGAAGCAACGTCGTATTTTGGCTCGTGGCGACTATTAAATTTGTTTTTGTTTTGTATTTGTTATAAAAATTAAATATAGACAAAGCACTTTGCTTGACATTTTTACCATAATGAACCATATTTCCAAAGCCAGTCAGGATGCTTGATGGGATGTTTAAAACAATGAATTGTGGTTTGTAGTTTGCTCCATGTTGAAAGTTGAAATCTTGAAAACACCGCACCATAATATTTGGGATAGAATGAAATTCTTAATTTTGCGCGAAATGAGTTGCAGCTCTGTCAGTGTTAGAGAAAAAGGATTTGGTTCATTTAAGTGAAATTTCAATAGGTAACGTTTATTTCACTCACGACAAACCAATAAGGGCTTCTTGTTTACCTACTTAATTGAAGTGAAGAATTAAATATTGTATCCTCTAGTACAGTTGCAGTACAATTGATTTTCCTGTTGTGCGAGTTTTTACTTCTGGTTACAGACTTCCTCCAGTTTCTTAAGTGATTATTCTTAAGTGAAAATTAAGTTGTTTAGAAGGCGTAATTATTGAACATGTTCAGGACTATTTAGATACTATTGTTCAAGACTATTTATTTAAATACTAGTATATACTGTAATGTATCATAATGATTATTTAGCAGTGAACCATTAATCCTAACTAGGGGCTTAGAATCAATATTTCGGTTCTTCAACCAAATAAGCAGCGAAAAAAAATGGTTAATATATGGCAAATGTAACGCCGTTTTGGTATCTTGAATTGCATGGAGGGATGAGTCCGTTGAGCAGGTTTTATTTTCAGAGTGAAAAACAAAATTCAAGAAAGCAAGGGCACAAAAGGATATTAATGTTGACTTAAAATTCATCAACACAACGCCCAGAAATACCATTACATGGTTAACTCCATTATCGCGTTAACAATATCATTGTCAGCTTTCTTTAATGCTTTGATAGCCCGATTACGTGATACATTGGCTTGGGAACATACCTAAAAAATAGTAATGATGTTTAAGTCGGAAAGCTTTCTTAAAACAATATTTTGTAAAATCAAATCGTCTTTTCATTTTTTTAAAACAATATTCATCTGCAATGATAAGAGTATCAATATGAGACTATGTTTCATATGCGGTTGAACATACATCCACCCAGTTCAGCGTTGCCTCTTAAAACATAAATCTTTCTGAGAAGATTCGTATTGAAAATGATTAAACCGTTTCGTCTAACCTATTGTTTTCAATGAATGTCAAAAACATACTAGTTCAATATCTTTCTCCTCAATACCGGTCGCATCAACTTCACCATCATCACCACTTTCCTCTTCCTGCTCGGTTCGAGTAACATTCATACGTCCACCTTGAGCACTTAATTGTGTATCGTTCGGCTTCAGCCTTTCTGCCGCAGCAAACCGTGCATGCTCACTTAAATCCTCAATCTACAAAGTCACAGACTATAAAAAACTTAGATTAAAAAAAAAATGGTTTTGTTTTATAAAAAAAGTTCAACATCTAGTAGTTCAACACATATAAGCAAGGCATGATGTCAACTGCAGGAATTACAGCGATAGGATACTTTTCAAGAATGCCTTGATAGGAAAAAAAAGGATTAGAAAGTTGGTAAACCAGATGCCTACTACTTCATGATTTGCAAATAACAGGTAATCATTAAGAATGAATACAGAATTAAATGCAAGGATAAAGAATCACAAATTTTAGAATAACTGTCAATTTTCAGGAAGTACCTTAGCTTCACCAAAAACAATGTAGGTATCCGAGCCTGGGCTTTTGTACACATCCGGTTTGTTGATTACAAAAAGAATATTTTTTGATTTTCGAATGCAAACACGAGAAACACCGTGGACTGGTTTTAAACCCAGTTTACTGAATAATTTACGAGCCTTCTTTTCTGATCGTGACTGCTTGCTCATTTTGTCTCCAGATACCTACAAAAAAAAAAAATCCGAATAAATATATTCCCAATAATTAACGAAATATCTCAAGTCAGTTGAGGAGGATAATTATGGATAATTATGAAATTAATTAAGATGTGAAAAATCACGAAAAAAAAAACAAAAAGAATTGACCTGGTCTGCTAATCCAGCAGCTTCTGCAACCTTCTTTTGGGCTTCCGTAACCTCACCCTCGTTTTCATCGTTTTCGTTGTCTGAACCTTTCATTTCATTCTCATCGCCAGCTTCATTTCCAGAAGAACCAGAAGACGTGTCATCAGTTGTTACCTCAAACAATATGTCATAAAGGATTCGAGATAAATTTCTGTTTGCGCAGTGACAATATCACTTAATAAGCACTCTAAAAGTGTCAATTAAATATTGATCAATAAAAATGACTTACACTCGCTGAAAATGTTTCTCTACCCTAGTTCTAATTACCGCATTCAAAACATTTCTCGATTTTAACTCTCTTAACCAATGACAAATCTTACTGTCCCGTTAATAGTATCGACGTCTCTTGCATCAAGCTTCTGTGATGGATAAGGCTAAGAAACAACACTAAAAATTATAAATTAAACATATTTTGCCTACTAATCTATCTCCACAATCAATATTCCATCTCCCATATGGTAGGAAAATTACATGTCGGTCATGACATGAATATTTATTGTAAAATATTCAAATTTTTTCAGGTTAAAAATCTTTAATAACCTATAAACCAGTGTTTCTGCGGACTAACACTTTTAAAAAGTAACCTTCTTTTGCTCCTCCTCCTTTATTTGAACTCCAACATCAGCCATATTTGCAATCGAATGTATAATTATCTAAATCCCTACAACATTTATCATTATACATTTCTAAATGTATCCTCTATTAAATGGCTACATACAGCAGTTTCTCAATGTCGCCACAAGAAAACACACACACACAACAAGAAAACCGAAATGTACCGTAATACAAGAGACTAAATGAGACCTTAATAACATCTGACAAGATAACATCTCGAGAATTTGATAATAAACCTTATCATCCATATTGTAACACCGTAACAACACGAAGAAATACCAACAGCTCAACCCTATTCCCATTCGCCACCCACCTGCAGAACAATCCTAGAAATCCCTCTGGGCTACTGTATGATCTGTTATGTCACCCCGACTAGGTTTTGATGAAAATGTTCATCATCACCTTATTTAGGGCTCCGGTTAGCCCTTGACATTCCGCTCCCTCTCTTCCCGTGTATTGGAGGTATGAAGTAACTGATTCGGTGAAGTTTAGTGACAGTTCATTTGGGATTAATAGATTTTCCGTAAATTGCTGATTTCGTAGATTCCTTATAAGTACATCTTCTAGGCTTAAATAGTATGAGATATA